AGTTCTGATCCAATCCTATAGTTTTGTTCAGGAAAAGGTTGTCACAAATATGCCAACCAAACTGGTTTAATTTTCTTCAAGCGGAAATAGCTTAAATGCAGATAATTAAGGTAAACAATGCATATTTCTTATTTTGCTTTGTCTTTTAGGAAGTAAACAACACTGATCCTTCTGCATTTAAATGAAATAATTGTGACTGTTCTGCATTTAGTAAGAAAATGAAAATATTAACACTGGAATGTAAATTCAGCATTATTTCTGATTTTGATGGCAGAATGAAAATTTGTAAATTAACAAAGAAATATCAGGCACCAGAATTTACACAAGAACAATCCAGAAAGACAAATAATTCTTGCGTATGTGAAAAATGCCCCTTTCTGAACACAGCCATAATTTGTAAAGAAGGTGGAGGAGTGGTCAAAGATGAAAGTAATCAATCTTGTAGCTAGTAATGGATGGTCCGTCGGATTTGAAAACTCACTGTAACTGCCACAGCATCAAAAAGAGCAAGCAAGCACAGATTAAAAAAGTTACATTTTCTTTTCTTGAGACAGTAGAGGTTAGAGTAGCCAAACTATACTTAATGTGAACAAGACTGGCCAGTTCTGGAAAACAATGCCTGAAAGAACTATTATTACACACAGAGAAAAACCTTACAGAACTTTATGGCTTCCAAGTCTTTTAATTTATCACTCTAACAATACAACAATTTTAAAAAATAAGCTGACCTCCCAGTGATTTGAAAATAAAATTCTAAAGCCTGGATGACAGTTTCTTTTTCTGAGGATTAGAAAATTGGTTTGGTCATCACTTTACACAAAGTTAAATATTATATTCAGTCTACATCAATTGCACTTACTTCTTGTCAATAATGCACTGTCTCCTTCCTGCCACTTTAATTTGTTTTGACTGCTGTACAAATTTTTGTTTCCTTTTCTGCATGCAAACCCAACCAGCTTGCTTCAACAGATGGACCTAAAAGTCATAAAAAAATTCAGCTTTGATCCATAAGACAATTGTTTTGCACATCTGAATAACTTTAGAAATCAAACTAATCAGCTGTCTGTTAAGAGATTTCTGGACAGAATACAGCGTTTTAGGTGAATGGAAAATCTTGGAATGAAATCAGGGTTGTGGAGTTGATAGAGAAAATGACCGACTCCGACACCTGGAATTTTAAAGACTCCGACTTCCTCACATATATATAAGTAAACATATACACATGGGTTACAGCCTCTTTTTTTTTTTTTTTTTTTTTTTTAATGTAAAAGAAGTAATAGATGCTACAGAAAAAAAATTGATGCATAGCAAATTTTTTATATTAATTAGCATTCATTATGAAATAGAAAAACTGGCATTAGTTATTTCTAAGAAACAGTATAGCTTCAGCAAGATCTTCTTTGTTAGAGGATGATAGATCCGATTTGATAAACTTCAGAACTGAGAAGAGTCTTTCCACACTGACTTGAGTAGGAAGAAGAGCTATTACTGTTTAGTGCTCCTTCCTTTAACTTTTCAGGATAGATTTTTAAGAGTTCTAAAAGAGGTGTCTTGCAAGCGCAATCATATTTCTCTATTTCCTCAAAGACTGTGTAGAAATCTTGTTTGTATTGTTTCATTTTTATATCTAAAGGCTCTCGGTTCTTTATTTTCATTCGCTTTGCCTTAGCCTTTTCAATATTATCCAAAAATATTTCTCAAAATCTAATTCATCGCTGGAAGAGGATGATAGAGACTCAAATGCAATGTCTGCAGTTTGACTGTCCTAATTCTCTTAATTGTTCTGAGAATAATTTCATTCTTAATGAAAGTTCATAGATGGCTTTCTTTGCCTTTTTAATTTGTTCGTCATCCAAGAAAATTCAGTGTTTCAGATCTACATATATTAAACACAGCAAGATCTCATTGTCCAGCAAACTAGTTTCTACTTTCTTCACTGAAGAAATGATTCCTTCTGGAATAAACCCTCCATTTCAGAAAGAACAAACATCCCATTCTTGCCTCCTGTCAATTCTTTAGATTGCAGCTTTTTTGTGGCTATATACGGTATAGAAAGAAGAGTTTCCAATTCTACAAGATCACTCAACAATCTTTCTGTTAGTGAAATATTAGGGTTATCCACATCTCCTAAAAAGTTCTTAATTCTAGAAACCTTTTTATCATCAAATATGTACTTCCTTATCGCATTGTTTGATCAATAATAATTGCTCCTTTTCCTGCTCGTTTCCTAAGAATACCTAAATTTACCAGTGAAATTTGTAACAAAATGAATCAGTTTAATCATTAATGGAAAATATCACATCCATCCTCTTCCTTATATTTATTTATTAATTTGTCAATAAAATAGAAAATAACTATTTATTAATGTAATAGTCCATAAATAAAAATAATAACTCAGCTTATCATTAATTTTTTTTCATTTCATTTTAATTTCATTTCAAATTCAAACTATCCAACAAAAACTCACAAATCTGAGTCGACCTGTTTTTAGCGACTCCAGCTCCGACCCCTTTTACCCCAAAATCTGCCCGACTCCGACTCCACAGACCTGAATGAAATTTCAAAAAAATTTCTACTGGTATCTGGAAGGATCTCTGTCTATTCTTTTTCAAAACTGAAACGAAAACATCATCACAAACTGATCAAATCACTGACGTTATAGAAGAATTTGTTAATCTTGCTGGTAATCAGAATTGATGAGTTATGATGTCAGCAAGCTGATGGATAGAGCAGGGAAACATCAGACCTGGATCTACCAGAAAAGCATATGACAGTGCGAGGTTGACAAAGAAATCTGAGCTCAACTGAAAAGGGCTTACAAAGCTGAGAGAATGTAGATTCTAATGAGGAACACATTCTAGCTACAAGGCAAATAATAACAAAATTATTAACTCTTGGTATTTACCATCATTAAAGAAACTTTTTGTAAATATGTCCCATTTGATCATGTCGGGGAATTTCGTTTATCTGCTCAAAAACTAATAATTTATTTCCAAGTATTATATGTTTTTCACAAGTTTAAAAAATTCGTTCAAATATATGAAGTGGATGAAGCACGTTTATTAATAATTATTACAAATGTTATGGAACAAGGTCAATTCCCCTAAATAAATTAAACTTCTCATAAAAAAAAAGGCTCACCAATAATTAACCCTGTTTGTTTTCTTGCAATTTAATATTCCTGCATATTTGTATACGTTTTTGTACTTTTTGATGATTTAAATTGCAATTTTAAACTTCTTATAAGTCTATTACAGGTTTTTAAATCTTTTTTATCAACTTTAGATTTAAATAGATTCAATTCACAATAATTTTTACTTTTCATTTCCTTGGAGATAATTATAAATAAAAAATTATTCATTGAATTTAAATACTCACACATATGTGTGTATGTATTTAAATTCAATGAATAATTTTTACAGAATTCAATATGATATTTGAATTTACTCTCGATATATATATATATATATATATACAGTCAAAAGTCGTTAATTCAGACACCCACAATCTGGAATGATGTATAATCCGGACCTCAAAGCTACAAACATTCTGCGCATGCGCTTTACGGCTGCGCATATGCGTGTGTGCATAATAAGTTTACGCATGCGCGTTTAATGTATAACGGACGGTATAAGCTAAAATTATCTATTTCAGTTAATGTTGCAGATTGCGTTGTTCCTTAATCTTCGAATTGGATGCGGCTTATTATTTTTTGCAGACTGTTAGAGCAATTTTATAAAAGTAAGCTTGAACTTTCAATTATGTCATAGAATTTCCGATGCTGGAGCTCCCAAAGGATCTACAAAGTGAAAGTATGTTTCGATGTCCATCAAACAAAAAGTGGAATTGTTGCAAAAAATGGATAAAGGCATGAAGAAAGTGACAGAGAGGTTAGTGAAAACGAAAAAATTTCTATTAACAAGTTAGTCGGTATTCTCGGCACAGCAATTACAGGACTTGAACAGCGGAACTTTGTTACTGAACAAGAAATTATGTCTGTTTATATAGAATTAAAGAGAAAGTATTATCACATAAAACTAAGCAACTTAAACAACTTACATTGAAAGAAATGTTTAATAAAGTAAACAAATAAATATTAAGCTTTTTTTTTTTAATTTTGATACTCTTTAGATCATAATTGTTCTTTATTTCATAAATTACGGTTTCATATTTTTAATTTTATAATTTCTGTATGCCATCTTACCAGATTTAAACTGATGATCTATAATCCGGAATTACCGAAGTCCCAACGAGTCCGGATTAACGACTTTTGACTGTATATATCGAGAGAGAGACTGAAATAACTAAATTAAAGAACAAATTAAGTTCAAAACCAATACCCAAATCATACACTATAAGCTGCATTAATTAGGTAGCAATATTTATTAAATTCAGAACATAATCCAAGTAAATTCAAACATCATATTCAATTCTGAAATAATAAAATGGCATAAAAATGTTTGAAATGGACAAAATAACTAGAAAATGAGAGCTGTTCCAAAATTCCCAAACCAACCCAGTGCAAAATTGTTGCTGACTCCAGAATTCAATACGATATTTGAATTTACTTGGATCATGTTTGAATTTAATAAACACGTGCAATGTTAGACCCCAGTTTAAATGCTTTTCATTAGTTCAGCTATCCCATAACTTCAAGGATTATGATACATACTTTTTTCTTCTCTCTCTCTCTCTTTTTTTAATAAGGCATGGTTTTAAAATTTACTTTATCACATGAAATTTTTATTCCAGCATGAAAAATATTTTATATTTACAGGATCTCTTATCCACAAGTAATATAGATATTCCAAACTTTTTTTAATTAAAATTCACAGTTTTATTTTCAGAATATATATATCATTCAGCATATGGTGCTAGAAAATGTGTAAATGATGTTTCATTTTATCGTATGTAAGAAAAAAAAATAAAATAAAAGTGAAACAAATATTTAAGTATTAACATGTAAGAAAATGTTTTTGAAAATTGATATACACAAAATATTTTTATAGAGCAAAATAAAACTTTAATTTTGGATTTACAGTAACATGAAAAGCAAAAATCAAATATTAAAAGGGAATGAATTTCAATATTATTATTCAGAGAGTTCATACGAATCATCATAAAATTCACCATAGGAATCATCAGTATCATAACCATCATAAGCATCATAATCATCAATAAAATCATCATAATCACTGTAAAGACTGAAGTCACTGATTTCATCATCATTCCAAATAATTTCAGGCATGTTTTTTGTAGAAGATGCAGCCTGAGTTAGCATATCAATATCTTCTATGTGTATATCTTTACAAAACTCTACATTTAATCTCTTAAGAGATGTGCATGATATAATAATCAGCACTAAGAAATTAACATCAACTTCTGAAAAACTGAAATTTAAACATTTTAGTGTATTCTGCTCACAGTACTTCAAAAGCGTGTTGTTTAGTTGAAGATCAGTTAATTCGCTATGTAATATAGACAAATTTTCTATATTTGGACTAGTTTTCAGTATCAAACTCAGAGCTTCTGCAGCTAATGAAATGGGTAAGTTTTCAGTGTCAATACTAAATTCTCTTAAAAGCCTCAAGGTTGGAATGCTGGCATTTTTTGTACAGTGGAAGTCAACATTTTTCAGACGCAATTTTTCTAATCTTTGGCAGTTCTGAATCAAAGCTGAAGTGGAAAGTGAAAAACCTTCAATGCTCAATGCACTCAAATTGGCCCCTTTTAATTTCAAAAATTCATCCAGATTTAATGGGCTCTGTGTATTAAAATTAGCCAATGTCAAATCTTCTAGTTTAGAAAATTTAGAACACAAATCAATATGTTCTTGCATATCTACTGGGCAGGACAATTTTTTTACATTTGGACAAAGAACAGTACAGATAGTCAGAACCTCCACTAGATCAGTTGAATAATCACTTCCAAAATAAAGCTCAGTTAAAGAATACTTTTTAATTGTATGTAACTTATCTTCAATGAGGTCCATTTTGTGCAAGGAATATAAGACTCTTGTTAGATGACAGTGAATAAAGATTTCAAGGGATGACATATTTTTAAGAATGAATGCAATGGTTTCATTACTAATATCTGCACAGTCTAAACGTAATATACGAAGCGAACGAATGCCCAAAGATTCAAATCCATCACCACAAAGACTTTTGACTGCTTCATCACTGATATAAATAGCATCTCGAAGATCCAATTCTTTAAGATTTGGGCAACTTTTGGAAATAAGTTTCACAGTTTCATCATCACATTCATGTGGAATACATAAATATTCAACATTTTGTAGCAATGCAATAATTTCTTTCATTTTTTCAGGATATTGACGAAATATTTCATTTTCAAAAATTACCTTCACAAGACTCTAAAAAGAAATAAAAAAAAAAATTAGAAACATTCATAAACAATTATTATTTATCAGCTTCTATTCATAATAAGCTGAACAGTTATCAACAAAAATTAGTAAATATTATATATACCTTTACTGTAAAGAGGGAGTTAATTTTATGATTTATATTTAAGATCATTTAAATGCAAATACATGTATGATCATAAAATTTAATGAGCACAGTGAAACTTGCCGAACGCAAGGGTTATGTCATTAATACATTGCCCATACAAAAAAAAGAAAAAAGAAAAGGGAAAAAAAAAAAACCCTCATTTTGCAAAATTAACTTCTGTGGAAAAAGTGTATTTGGTAAAATTCAGATTAAGAAAGTATGTATAATTTAAACAAACTTAAATATTACTATAATTGAAAGGGGGAAAATGGAACTAATGTTACCTGAAAGGATTTTTATTACTGCTTAGCATAATACAATTAATTTTTGAAAAAGCTGATGATTTTTGTTTGAAATACTGAATCGTGCAATTTTTTAAAACGTCCATGGTAAGGAGAGCTGAATTTTTCAGTGTTTCCCCCCCACCGACTTTAATTAACAAATATCTATTAATTATTAATAGAAATATTTCATTATTTCTGCTTACTTTTGTGGCCATTTTGATAACATTTTGTTGAATTAACCATTTTCACCCAGGCCAAATTTCTTCAAACTCCTAAAGCAACACGCCATCTTGAACCATTTTAGCATATTTCGGAACATTGACCCCCCTTGCACTGAGTCAGGTTTTTGCCAACGGTCAGTCACTTTTCATTGGCTCTTTCCTAATGACGTTTTTTCCCCGTTTTACATCATCCTGCGCCTTGTTGGTTAGCAGTATGCTTGCTTGGGGCTGAAACCCCCTTTTCGAGTTTGATATTACAATGATGAAGATAGCGTCTCTCCAGGTCTGGTTTTAAACAATTTTTTTCCCCCTTGTAAAAAATTTTTGGTCTGGGCAAAACCCTTGCTGCAATTCCTACGTTATACTAATATTAAAATTTTAAATTTAATTTTTGGTACTTTTACAAAGTATTAACTCTTTAAGCTAGTAAGTGCTTCCATAAAATTTGTATATTTTGACTAATAGCAAATTGCTATTTATTTTATTTTGTACATCGGCAATACCATTCATTGTCTTCATTACACCTTAATATGTTTCTGGAGTTAGCAAGGAATTGATAAAGATTTGAAATTTATTCATTAAAAAATGCTTCGCAATTTTTCTGTTTCAGCGAAATGCGTTGTGGATGAGAAATTCATTAAAAAGTAATTTCCCCTGATAATGAGATTCGAATTAGGCTAATCTGGAATTTACTGCTTATTAGTTTTTTATATTTTTGCTCAAATAATTTGTTAGTACTTTTACTAATCTTTTAAATATACCTTAATTAGATTAGCATAATGCTTACTATTAGTATTGATTTTTACTTGTAAATATTCAAATGTTGTATTTTTTTCTCTTGTAACACATTTCATTGCAACTTATTTTGCTTATGTTCATGTTTTCACAGAACCACAGTATTTCAGCTGCTTTTTAGTGCACGAACTAGGATTTTCTATTAACCTTTTTCTAAATTTTGCAGCACAATGCACAAAGTTTTTGACCATATAGGTCTTATATCGTTTGTTCTTTTTACTTTACTGTATTTCTTTTATAGTTTATTATAAAAGAAATACAGTAAATTATAATAAAATTATTTATTATAATTTACTGTATTTCTTACTGTATTATTGTATTTCTTATTCGCAAAAAAAAAAGTATTAGAATATTTTTACTTCCTTGTAAAAAGTGAAAAGGATGTATTATAATTGCGAAAAGTTTCAGGCAGCATATTTCAACGAAAATATCCATTTTGACCCCTATCGAATGCAATTTAACGATGTTTTTGCATGATATCTGTACGTAAGAACAGAATAAAAGACTCTTTTCCTTCAAAAAAAATATAAAACTGCTTTAACATGAATTCTGAAGAGAAATTTTCGTGGCGTCTGTACGAACGTATGTACGTATCTCGCATAACTCAAAAACGAGTAGCCTCAGAACGTTGAAATTTTGTCTATAGGACTGCTATAACATGCAGATGTGCACCTCATATTTTGGTTGCAATCGGCCGCACTAAACGTATATACATATATTTATAAATTGAAAAAGAACATGTAAAGCTAACAAGTAATTAGACGTAAGACCTATTTGGTCTTAAAAAATTTTTTGCGCATAATGCTGCAAAAAGATATGAAATAATAGTAGTAGATAGAAACATTGCAGTGATTTTGCTAAAAAGTTACCAGGAGCTGTAGCTCCACGAAATATTTTAACGCTGTATTACAAAAATAAACTACGAAGAAATTTGTCTGGAAAACTGGAAAAAAACTGTAAACACACGAAAAAACAGCCAAAATTAATGCTGGAAGACATGCTAATGCACGAAAAAATTAATCTGACCGTTGTGATATGTGAAAAGTTAACTCACATGAAAAATAGATTGACGGAAAAAAAAATATAAGAAAAGTAAATACATATAAAAAATACAGATTGAAAAAATGCCAATACATAAAAAGTAAAAATTAATATGAAAACATAAATTGCAATAAAACAAAATACAATAATTACATAGCAGTAAAATGGTAAACTAACCCACTCGTACTCTCAATTGGCTTTTCACGGGGAAAAAACTGATTGTCAAACTAGGTTAAATACCATTACGTGTTTCGCCAAAACAGACCATTGAAGCTCTTGTTTAATGCGAAAAATTTTTTTAAAAGAACATTAGTATTCCCGAATATATCTTTTTTGGAATAAATCCTTTTTTGGAGCTTCACTGCTCTGTTCCTTTTTCCCGACGCATCCGCTGAAACACACATTAGGGTGTTAAAAGCAATTGCAACTCCGAGCAATGTACAATTATAATCAAAATCAAAATAAAATAAAATAAATAGCGGTCTGCTATTAGTCAAAAAATTACAACAACGTACGGGCTGGTCCTTTAAACCTTAAAGAAAATAGAACTTTTATAAAAAGAATGGTGCTGTAATCAAATAAAAAAGCAATTAAATTATGCAAGAAAACAAACGTCGCACGGTCTTATTAGGACCAAAAAAAACTATGACAAAAGAAACAAAAAAACTGACCTGAGAGGTGCCGTCCTTTGCATCCGAAAAATTTTTTGGAAAAGGGCGCAAAACCCTTCCGTGCCCAACCAACCTTCCTTCTTGTTGAGTGACGTAGTTGGGCGAAGCAATAAAAACTGCATAGGCCAATGGGCTGAGATTGTAGTTTGGTGGAAATTCTTGTCCCCCCTTTTTTTATAGAGGGAGTGACCGACGAGAAAAGACACGGAAAGATCTCAAAATGGTGTCAGTCAAGTTGTTAGAAGACTGCTAAAAATAAGTGAAAATGGCTAATTCAGCTAAAATTACTTATTTTTGGTCACAAAAGAAAGAGTAAATTGGAAAGTCATTTGTTAATAAAAGTCGTCATTCTTCAAGCTACTATGAAAAATGAAAAGGCTCGATTTGTTAATAAAAGTAGAGTTTGGCCTTCTAAGTAATTTAAAACTATTAAATAATAGTATTAAAGTATAGTGCCAAAATCTTTGGAGGAAAGAAAATGTATGTAGGAGAAATCTGCACATTTATACAAGTTTTACATTAGATAATCTGAATCAGCCATTCATTTTATACCTTAAAATGGGCTTTAAGTATAAAATTTCATTATCCAACACAAATTATCTAAAAATTGGCAAGGCTAATGCCAGCTTTTTTCAAGGTATTTTTATTTATTTTATGAGGAATTTGGTTATTTTTCAAAATTTTGACGAAGTAAAGTATTTCTTCTTGTAAGTGTTCTTGTAGTACAGTAAGACCCTGCTTAACGCTGTTTCGGTTTAGCGCTCTTTTATTTCAACCCGGGGATTCTCCGAAATTGTGCGCAGCACTAGGTTTCCAAACAACATATCCGAAACAGTGTAGTTGTGTTTCTTGCTTTGTGGACGCATTTTTATCATTTGAAACATTTGTTGACATTATTGTAAGTTTAAATTTGTATAATACTATAACGATTAATACAGTGACAAATATTATGATTTTTAGTTTTTATCATGGGTGATAATAAAAAACAAGAAAAGAAAGCAACCAGAAAAGCATTTCACTGGAAACTCAAAAGCAAGTGATTAGAAGATTAGATTCTGGTGAACGTCAATCTCAAATTAGTGCTGCAATGATTTTGGCAACTTCAACAATAAGGACAATTCTTAAGAATAAAGAAAAAATACTGTCATCGGCAACTGCAACTACGTCAAGCTCTGCAACTAGAATTACCCGTTCTAGAAATAACATTATAGAGGAAATGGGAAAACGACTGTCTATATGGATTGACGATGAAATTGAACGCAATATGCCATTAAGCCAATCTATCATAATGCCTTCTTGACAAAAAGGCAGAAAATTTTAAACCCAGAATAGACTGAATGATCTGACTGAGAATTTTATTTGTTTTTAAAAGTATATGCGTTTATATTGTTTTTATTTTTGTAAGAAATAAATGTTTGATTTTATTTTTATTAAAAAAAAACATTATTAAATTTAATGCCTAACCATTTTTTTATCCGTCTTCCCCTAACCCCATTATTTACATGTTAAGATAGCCTCGCTTAGTGCTGTTTCGCATTACGCTCTACTTCGATGGAACGTATCCCCCGCGTTAAGCGGGGTCTTACTGTATTACATATTCTTTTCATTCTAAGTAGCTGTGAAAAAATTGTGTTAATGATGATTCTTTTTGGAAATATTAGAAATTGTTGATAATTCTACAAATATTGCACGCAGGTCAACTAAAGGCTTAAAAAACTTAACCAGAAGATAAGAACAACATAATTCAAGAACAGCATAATTCAATCATTTTTAAAAGCAAAATATGCCCAATTTAGCAACATATAATAAAAAAACTGAGCTTACACAGCCGAGTAACAGAAAGGGTATATGT